CATTCCCCAAGACGAGTGTATACCCTGATATGGGTGAGACCAACCCACTTCATAGCAATATCTATCGACCCCCTCGGCCAGGTTTCGCCGTGCCCCCTCCCAACTACAGCCAGGCCCCAGGGGGAGCGTACCCACCAGCAGCTGGCTATGGGCAGCCTGGCTTCACCCAGGCAGGCCAGGGTTTCACCCCAGTCCCTTCCCTCAGGGGCCTTACCAGCAAGGACCTACACAGCCCAGCTTTCCTGGAGACTCCATTCCACTTGCCAGCAGCCCTGGTTATCACGCTGATGGGCCTCCATCTTACTATGACAACGAGGAGTTCACCACCTCTGGCTTTGAAGACAAGAACATCCGACAAGCCTTCATCCAAAAAGTCTTCATGGTTCTCACCGTGCAGCTGCTGGTCACTTTCTCCTTTGTTGCCATCTTCACCTTTGTCGATGAGGCTAAGTACTTTGTGCGACGTAATCCATGGACATACTATGTGTCCTATGCAGTCTTCTTCATAGTCCTAATTGTCCTCAGCTGCTGTGGAGACTTTCGCCACAAGCAACCCTGGAACTTGGTTGCACTGTCCATCCTGACCCTGTGCCTCTCCTACATGGTGGGCATGATTGCCAGTTTCTATAACACAGAGACTGTCATAGCTGTGGGTATCACTGCAGTGGTCTGCTTCACTGTCGTCCTGTTCTCACTGCAGAGCAAGTATGACTTCACTTCCTGTTGGGGCGTGCTCTTTGTGTGCTTGATTGTGCTGTTGCTCTTCTCCATCCTCTGCATCTTCATCCGCCACAAGATCCTACACATCGTCTATGCCTCACTGGGGGCCCTGCTCTTCACCTGCTTTTTGGCGGTTGACACTCAGCTCCTCCTGGGCAACAAGAAGCTGTCCCTGAGTCCAGAGGAGTACATTTTTGCTGCCCTGAACCTCTACACCGACATCATCATCTTTCTCTACATCCTGGCTATTGTGGGACGTTCCCGTGAATAAGGCTGCACCTTGGAGAGAACAGCAGGGAGATAGAGAATGCCTCCCTTTATCATGAAATGTTGCTAACGTGCCCTTTTCTCTGTACTGTTTAGTATTGATGTAAACCAGCTTTGTCTGATAAAAAAAGACATTTGTGCTAGAGAAGATATGTGTTATAATATTTGCTAGAAAATAAACATGCTATATAAATAAAGTTGATGATGATGATGAAATGCTAAAGTGTTTCTGCTGTCGGAGTTTGCATGCAAATAGCCACTCTTTGATATCTCATTTGAGAGTCTCGCACAGTTTCTATCCATCGTTGAAGTTTAAGTTATGTGCACAAAGTGGTTGTAGCAGACAGTTTTGTACATATTCAGGTTTTCGAAAACATTTAAACAGTGTTCATGTTGCTGATGATAGTCCAGCTGTTCATTTGTCCTCTAGTGAAGAGCCCGCTCATGTTGATCAGCAATGTTCTTCTTGTGTTGAATCTGATCCCCAAGTTGCTCCCATTGACTCAGTTGAGAGAAATGTGACCCATTCCAGGAGAGAGACTGTGGATATATGTGCCTCCATTGTGGCCAAATTACAGTGCAGTGGAGTGGCCAATAGCTTGGTATCATCAGTTGTTTCAGAGCTTGAGGAGCTCACAACGGAATTCCATAGCCAAGGGATGTAATGTCTGCCATTCCTCCTAATAACCCTGCCAGGTCAGCAGTTGAAAATAGTTTAGGACATTTTGACAGCCCCTTTTCCTTTTTTAACACAGAAACTAAAAGAAATAAATATTTCATGGACAAATTTGGTGTAGTGGAGCCAGTAGAAGTTATGCTTGGCACGAGATAGGAAGTTGGTCACCCTGTGATCCGGGTCCATCTAGAGGCAGTAAAAGAAAGCAGAGGGAGAAGGAGCTTGAACATGAGGAGAAGCAAACGAATGGCAGAACATAAGAATAGAACGAGGGGTTTAAATCAGTGAAGGCTGCAGACATGTAGTCGAAGTAAAATGCAAGATAACTGTGCAGAGCGGTTGTACTCACGCTCCCTCGTCTCTGAGCAGAGATAGGAAGTTGGTCACTCTGTGATCCGGGTCCATCTAGAGGCAGTAAAAGAAAGCAGAGGGAGAAGGAGCTTGAACCAGCTGCTGACATCAGAAACAAACACTAGTATAAACAGTAACAAGTTGAAGTCACAGCAGAAACAGTTGGTCCATTTTGGAGCTCCACTGTCAAAATCACTTCAGTAGCTAAATATCCTCAGTGACATGACTGTAGACGTGATAAAAGAGGGTCATGAAAACTGCCTCAAGTTGTTTGTTTGAAGCAGAGGTCATTCTGAACTGTTAAAACTTACCAACACTTTCAACACCAGTAATTCACACATAACATATTGTTTGTTTTGAGTCATACAGATATGAGAGTGAGACCAATCTTTGGGATCATAATCACATAAAATAATATTTTTATTACTTAGTGTTTCAACAATTTCTCCGCTCAAAGTACATTGCAGAGTACATTTCTTCACTGCTCAGGAGGAGCTTCTCAGTACAAATTCTTGGTATAGTACTTTCAGGGTTTGGGTGCATTGTTGTTGATCATGTGTCATCTGCTCTGCTGAACGTTCTGTACCTGCAGAGACATCTCGATAAGCAGAAGGAGCTTCTTGATCCCAATCCAGACTTGTTTTCCTTTGAGCTGGTGTGCGATGCTGGCCCGCTCTTTAACTGTGAAGCTCCCAGCAGCTGCAAAGGCATCAGGGGAAAAATTTTGAATGCTACCTTTAAAACCTCTGAACAATAAGCCATTTAAACAAAAACAGACAGTGAGGACACATCTAAATTATGTTTAAAATGTTTTACTTGAATGAATTTAGATTTTATTCCCCACGTACACCAAAGTTACAGACCGTTCCAGGCCATGTGTGTAGGCACAGATGGGTGACAAATAAAAGGGAAAACCCAACAAAAAGTGTCTTAGTATGGTGTTGGGCCACCACGTGCCACCCGAACGGACTACTTTCAAAAGAACACCTGTGACTTACTGCATACTGTATGTAGTTGTGTGTTTATACCTCTAAGGCGTCGACTAACTGCTGCCCAGTAGAGATGTTGGGAACATGGGTTGTGCTGAAGGCGTCCAACATCTCCATCTCCTGTAGTACATGCTTCCTGCTAGTGGTGCCGATGATGAGCAGTTTCCGACCCTATGCATACGGAAAATTCCCCAGTCAAGATAAAAAATGCAATGTGCGCAGATATTCAGTAATATTAATAGGTATGATTTTCACACTTTCAAAGTTAAAAGCTTGCCACACTAAGTTAATCCAGTTATTTACTGACACAATAAAACTGTAAAGCAAAATCTGCACAAAAACAGGAAAGACAAACTGTCAGAAAAAAAAGAAATATTTTGTTATTTCCTGTCACAAATATATTACTTTTTAAATAGGCTTAGAGGACTGTAGTTTCTAGCCAACATGACTAAAACTGCAGTAAACGGGAGTTTAATTTTTGTGAACAATTTTGGGAACCGTTTTCATCCATGGATTAATACACATTTACAGTAGTGCCCTGGTGCAGTGGTTTTCAGTTTTTGCTGTTGCTGTTGTTTGTGACCCATTTAAATAAAGCCACATCTTCTTGTGATCCCTCTCCACAGGTTGTTCGGTGGTGGCCTATTCAACCAAAGAGTAACTGTTCTCTTTCAGACTGTTTTATTTGTACATTTTAAATGGAGCTCTACGGCTCAGAGAAATAAGACATATCAGTTTTGGCAATACTTGTCAGCAGAAGCAATTATTCAGTTAGTTTTGGTCTTGTCATAGCATTTGTTGACAACAGTATAGTAACCATATGAATATAGGTCTGATGACCTCTGACATTGGGTGGAGCTTTCTTCAGCAGCACCAGCAGAGCCTGAAGGACCAGGTTGGAGAAATGAGGACCAATGGGGATGTAGTCCAGCAGTAGGCCTGGGCTATATGGCTGAAAAAATTATCACGATAAAATTTTCCATATCAGACGATAACGATAATTATCACGATAACTTTAAATCTTAAAATTGCTTTTAGGTTTAAGGCAGATTTTTGCTCCTGTATAAAATTTGTGAAAACCAGACAGTTAAGCATGTTATTAAACAACTGTTTATTGCCAGAACATGAACACAATTTAAAGTTTTTAAAAAACAAACAAATAACAGCTGGCCATTTGAAAATAAGTCTTGGAAGTTTTGTAAACATTTTGTTTTAGCTGACAGGTGTAAATAAAAT